ACCTTCACTTCATCTCCCATCCTACTCTGTCCTTCTCCTCCCACTCTCTGCAATACTTAAGGGGTTGCCTTGGTCACCATGCCCAGCTACCTGCCAGGGGATTAGACAAGGTCCATTGAGTATGTAAATCTGAGCTTCCACTCCTCCTCCATCCCTCCTCTCAGGTTTCTGGAGAGATGGGAGGGCTTTAGAAGCTCTGACCCTGAGAACCTCCCTAGCCTGTCCCGAGGTAAACTCACTACCTCACTCTCAGGCTGACTCATCCCAGGCTGCTACATAGCCTCTAACTAAAAACCTGTCTAGCTCCCCTCGCTAAGCATGTAAATAAAAGTAAATAAACAAAGGTGCCTCAGAAGACGTCACATTGGATGAAATGCATAGGGAGGTGCTTCATGCTGACATCAACATGTTGCTGGAAGTTGACCTAGAAGTGAACCTCTTGCCAGCTGGAATATTTTTTTTTTTTTTTTACTGTGCAGCACTCTGTTCTCTGTTTGTAAGTGCAATTTTATGATTAAATATATTTAATACTTTCAATTTCACACTGGAGTGTTTGATCGCCTACATTTTTCTGAGCATGTATTGAGATGTGGAAGCAGATGGAGGATATTTATGGGCATTAACACCTTTGGCCAACGGCTGAGTCTGTTGGAGGAAGTTGGAAGCCTTGTCTTATGCTGACCATTATTTTCAAATGCTGTATTTGCCTTATAACTTCTCTGTAGTAAGGGTCATATATAGATTCTTTCCTGATGCTAGAACACAGTTTAAGATTCTACTGACACATATATTTGTGAACTTGCTCGCAAAGTGGACTATTTCACCAGTGGATGGGACTTTTATATTTTATGTTTGGTTATTATATTTGTATTATATTCTGGTTTATGTTTAATTAGCACATTGCGTTTTATGCTATCGGTTCAAATGTCTACAGGGATTAAAGAGGAACATCACCCAACCTAAATAAATTTAGAGTTCATTTTTCTAATACTTGTTCCTAAATAATAATAATAATAAAACATACTTCCAAGTTGTGTTCATGAAGCAATGAGCATGACATTTTAAAAATTTGTTTATTTAAATATTTTACAATTGAACATTGTCTCTCTTTTACAGTATGCACCTCGTGAGTGTACACAATGCTTCCTGCAATTTTTCCATTCTTTATAGCATCCCTGGAAGTCTTCAAGTGGGTTGACATTCTTGAGCCTGTGTAGTAACTCTTTGGATGTTATCCACACTGCCAAAATGGTGTCATTTCAAACCCTTCTTCATCTTTGGGAATATGAAAAAGTTGCAAGGAGCCAAGTTGGGGCTTTAGGGTGGATGGGAAAGTACAGTGATGTGTTTTTTAGCCAAAAATTCTCTGACAGCCAAAGCATGTCGAGATGAAGGATCCAAGTTTCTCAGCATACGCAGAAAACTCTTTATCTAAAGCAGCGGTACTCAACCTTCCTAATGTTGCACCCTGTTAATACAGATTCCTCATGTTGTGGTTGTCCATAAAGTTATTTATCCAGAATTATAATTCATGAAGTGTCATTTTACCTCCAATACTGCTGCTTTCAACACAGTAGCTACTTTTACAGAGCTGCTTTCAAAACACAGCATCTGCTTTCTACACAGTAGCTGCTCTTTACACATCGGAAATATGTGTTTTCCGATGGTCTTAGGCGACCCTTCTGAAAGGGTTGTTCGACCCCCAAAGGGGTCGCGACCCACAGGTTGAGAACCACTGATCTAAAGCGACCTAGAACCTCCAGGTAAAACGTTTCATTCACAGTACTAGTAGGTACAATCTCCTTATGGACTATTCCATGTGAATAAAAAAAAAATATTGATTTGACTTTTGATTTGCTCATTCGATCTTTCTTGGGGCGAGGTGACATGTGCCATTCTGAACTTTGTTTCTTCATCTTGGGATCATACCCATACACCCAAGATTTATCTCCCGTGATCACTCAGCTTAAAAAAATCATGCTCTCTTTCGAAACGGGCCAACAGTTCTTGGCAAACGAGTTGGCGTTGTTCGTTTTGGTCAGGTGACAAGTGCTTTGGAACAAGTTTTGCACATACTTCTCTCATGTTCTAATCCTGAATCATGATTTCATGGACAATTGACTTGATAATTCCATTTCTTCTGCAATCATTCTGAGAGTGAGCCATTGGTCACGGTTGAAAACAGACCTCACTGCATTCACATTCTGTTCTCTTTGATGAACAAGGATGTCCTGATTTTTATTCGACTTCAACAACTTCTCTTCTTCCTTGAAGGCCTAGTGTCATTGGTACACTTGTGCAGGTGTTATCACAGCTTCTCCATAAGCTTTCCTCACCATTTCCAAAGTTACTGATGCACTTTTACCCAATTTTCCACAAAATGTTATCGCGTACCACTGTTCCAAACTTGCTTGCATTTATCTTAATATGAGGCACTTGAACAGGGTATCACAAAAAAGAATGTACAATTTTACAGGGCTGGAATGTAACTAATCAGTGTTGTAACATATACCTGCCCTTCCCCAAGTGACTTTGGCCAGCTTCTCCTTTCACGGAGCCCATCTCAAGCATAGTAACTTTATTTTCATTATATTCCTGACACACCTCGTAGTAATCCATGGAGTCCAGCATTGTTTTCCTTGGAGCTGTAGTTGGAGCTAGTCTACTTCTGAGCCACCATCTTGAAAGTCATCATTCTGGTTTTCATCCTGCAGGTCTCTGTCTGGTTTTTTGGTTTCCTATGTGGGGTGGACAACTACGTGGCCAATAGGGATGAGCTCAAACAGGGTCTGAACCCACTTGTCTGTTAAAACAGACAGCCAATCATAGGTGGCAGAGGAATGCCTCCACCATCCATGACTGACTACTGCTTTGACAGGTTTCTTACAGAATAGCGCAGATGATTTTTGTTTTGTTGCCGAATCCACCTGAAGTCATCCTTGGTGGCCAAGCAAGATGTCTTCTAGGAATGTACTTGTTTATGCAATAAATAATAAAGAGTACAGCACTGTGGTTGTTATCCCAAAGTAATAGTAAGTCACTCACTATCAATTATGCAAAACCTAAATGTGGCAGTATGCTCAAAGATTTCTCTTTTAAACAGGATCCCTAACACTTACACAATGGGCTTTCTAGATAGGATGCTGTGCTGGCGGTCTTGAGCACAAGGTGCAAGCCTGGGCAACAAGGTCCCTCCCCCACAAAAGAAGTCTCCAGACCTCCAGACCATCTCTTCTGTCTTGCTTTCGCTGCGGGCCATCCTTTTCTTATCCAGCTTGTATCTCTATCTACTGCACTCAAAAGCTTTCAATCTAAGATTCCTATCTCACATGCATGCAGTGCATTCATGTACTAGGACCAGTTTAGACAGGTGCCAATTATTCATCATAGTTATATCAAAAGTGTAGTGCAACAATTCCGATATTTGTGCAATCATATACAGTAAATACATTAAAGCAGAGTTCCACTCACCTGTCAAAAAATAAAAGTTAGCAGCTACAAAAACTATAGCTGCTGAATTTTAAAAAACAGCCACTTACCTGTCCCTCTGTCCCGTGGTGTGTCCCCCGCAGTTTCACTGGCCGTCCTGTATTCCAGAGGCCGGCATCTTCAGTGTGGGCACCCGGCTGTGATAGCTTGTGTCTTCACAGCTGAGTACCCACTGCGCATGTGCGAGTAGCGCTGCACTTCATGAATGGTCCTGTAGTCTTCTGGGACCTGTCACGTGTCCCAAAAGACTACAGGGAGGGAGGGAGGACCGGAAGTGGGAGCAGGTACCTGTCAAATTCGGGAACCCGCCCCCCCCGCTCCCCAAAGGTGCCAATCCTTAATGGGGAGTGGGGGAGCAGTCCTTAAAGCAGATCTTCCCTTTTTGGGTGGAGCTCCGCTTTAAATGTGAATAAATAATAACGTTCCTTAAAATCAACAATTAAATAAGTGTCCGTGTGAGTTTTTATAAGTCTGTATATACCTTGCAATGTCAAATATGTGCAGAACTAATTGTTTGCATGTGTAATATGAGTCCTTGTATCCTCCAGGGAACAGCAGTTTCTACCTAATGTAAAGTGTGATCTTACCGTGCGTACGTCACAAAAAGTATCATGTGTAGTATCATAAAATGTGCAAAACAGGTTTTTTTTATATGTATAATATGAGTCCTTGTATCCTGCAGAGAATAATATTTTCTTCCAAATTTAAAGTGCGATCTTGCCATGTGTACATCAGAAGTACCGTGCATGCTTGAAACTTTTTGAAAAAGTAAATGATTATGTGACAAAACATGTCAGGGAGCGTGGTCAATCATCATCACACCTAGAACCAGAAGTGAGCCATCTTTATACATATCAGCTGAGCTGATGTTGATCCTTAAGGGGGCAAAGTTTTTACATAAAAAGAGGCGGTTACCCACTTTAGCTCTGGAAGACATTACCCCCTCCATGAACATGACATGTTTTACTATTCACCAATGAACTATTTTAATTGACAATTGCTTGGTCATGCAATATTGCACACAAATGACATTTTTATCACTTTTTTCACTCAAATAGAGCTTTTATTTGGTGGTATTTGATCACCACTGGGTTTTTTCATTTTTTTGCGATATACAGGTGTACTTTGGTTCACAAATTTAATGTGTTCTCTGGGACGTTTTGTATCGCGAAACATTCGTAAACCGAAATGCAGTTTCTCATAGGAATGCATTGAAAACCAATTAATCCGTTCCGGAGGTCAGAAAAAAGTAAATAAAAAGTCACTGCCACTATAGGTCAGTGCCAGTTTTTAAATGCAATTGCTGGCTTTTTTTTCCTTCACTTTAGCTCAGAGAATCAGCTTTCACTTTCCCCCAGCTAAAAGAAACAAAGTTTCCTTTTAGTTTATTTCCCGAGATAAAAGAAACAAAGTTTCATTTAGCTCCAGGGAAAGTGACAGCTAATTCTGTGAAATATGGTGAAGAAAAAAAAAGCCAGCAATTGCATTTAAAAATCGGCACCGACATACTGTCAGGAATCCCGGGTTCCGCCGTGGCGCACGGGACTGCGCAGGCGCGAATTACCTAGGCGCAGCAACATGCGGGCACTGGAACCCAGGCGCCCGCAGCGGCAGTTGCAGCTGCAGCTGCGCATGCGCACTCGCGCACACGGGTGTGCACCGGGCACCAATGACGGCGCAGGGCGCCCTATTTAAACAGACCTTTGCAGTGCTCAAGTTGCCGTATGGTCTTACTCCTGCTGTTCCTGTTCGTTGTTCAAGAGAGATTGCCTTTGTTGCCGACCCCCCCCCCCACAGCCTGACCCGGATTGCCGTGACCATCTCCCTCCCTGACCCCTGGCTTGTCTTGACCATTCTTCTGTCTTCTCCTGTTTACCTGACCTCCTGTTGCTGAACCTGGCCTGTGACCCGTTGATCCTTTTGCCTGCCGCTCTGTACCATCTGCCTCCGCTGTTACCGACCTGGCCTGTCCGACTACGCTGCACTCCGCCTCTTCACATCAGGCTCTCACCTGTTACTTGCCACTGGCAACCACCTCAACCGCAGCTGGTTGTACTCGGGGGCCGTGACCTGGTCTCAGACTGCTCCAAGTCCATCCCCGCCATCAGGGGCTCTGGTGAAACAGCAGGCTGGGGCTTAGATTCCGTGCCCTGAGGAATTCCGGTCTGTGGGTCGCTAGAGGCTATTGCCAGTTGGCCCCTGACACATACACTTTGTATTGCGAAAAAAATCATAAAAAATTTGTAAACCGAGGCATTTATTTCCAATGGATTTTTATTCATAAACAAAAAAATATGTTAACTGAGGCGTTCGTAAACCAAGGTACACCTGATAATAAAAAACACCGAAAATTTTGAAAAAAACTCCCGATATTTTCTACTTTCTGTTATAATACATATCCAACAAAATCTAATTTCTTCATTAATTGAGACCAAAATATATTCTGCTACATGTCTTTGATAAGAACAAATCCTAACACAAACTTTTTTTTTTGTGTGTTTTTTTTTTTTTTTGTAATGTGTAATTTGTTTTTTTACTGTAAATATATTTTTTGAAAAAAATGAATAAAATGTTTTGGAAAAAAAAAACAAATCCCAATAAGTGTACATTAATTAGTTTGTATGAAAGTTATAGTATCTACAAACTATGTTTGAAAATTGATCAGTCCTGATGTACTAACGGCCTATCTTTATTCCTTGAGGCCGCAAAAGGCCAGGACAGTACAAATATCCCCCAAATGACCTCTTTTTGGAAAACAGACAGTCTGAGATATCATGTAATGTCAGAACTGTTCTGGGCTCACAAAAATAAACAGGAAGGCCTGAACTTATTACCTCTACATGGGCATGCTGGAAGCCATTTTGTTCTTCATATTCAATTTTTGTGGTTTCTGAACACAGATTTTAAGAGCATTCCAAAGTCCTTACAGCTTATGTTCCCAGGTTATAAATTTGGGGGGAGGTATGGTGGTATCAGACAGATACAAGATAAAGACTAGACGTCATACCAAGACAAATGGATGAGCCCATGTCTAGATTGAACAAAGGACAAAAGAACTGTTCACAATTATTTTTTTCTTCCATGAACCTCTGAAAAAGAGTTCATATTAAACTTTACATTGCATATGGTGTTATTATTAATTGATAGGAATATTTTAACCATAAATGTCAATTGTATTATTATTAGTATAGCAAGAAGTGAATACTTGCTTACTTAAGTAATTCAGTTTTTATATTACTAGATTCAATTTCCATATACATATATATTTCATCTACAGGTGAAACTCGAAAAATTAGAATGTCGTGCAAAATTTAATTTATTTCAGCAATGCAACTGAAAAGGTGAAACTAATATATGAGATTATTATTATACAGGATTTATATAACGCCACCAGTTTGCTCAGCGCTTTACAATATAACGGGAGACAATACAGCAACGGTAAAGTTCAATACAAGAGGGATAAGAGGGCCTGATCCTGGGAGCTTACAATCTAGGATAGACTCATTACATGCAAAGCAAGATAGTTCAAGCCGTGATTTGTCATAATTGTGATGATTATGGCTTACAGCTCATGAAAATCCCAAATCCACAATCTCAAAAAATTAGAATATTGTGAAAAGGTGCAATATTCTCGGCTCAAAGTGTCCCACTCTAATCAGCTAATTAATCCATAACATCTGCAAAGGGTTCCTGAGCCTTTAAATGGTCTCTCAGTCTGGTTCAGTAGGAATCACAATCATGGGAAAGACTGCTGACCTGACAGTTGTGCAGAAAACTATCATTGAAATCATTTCAAGGGAAAGCCTCAAAAGGTAATTGCAAAAGAAGTTGGATGTTCCCAAAGTGCTGTATCAAAGCACATTAATAGAAAGTTATGTGGAAGGGAATAGTGTGGAAGAAAAAGGTGCACAAGCAGCAGGGATGACCGCAGCCTGGAGAGGATTGTCAGGAAAAGGCCATTCAAAAGTGTTGGGGACTTTCACAAGGAGTGGACTGAGGCTGGAGTCAGTGCATCAAGAGCCACCACACACAGACGGATCCTGAACATGGGCTTCAAATGTCGTATTCCTCTTGTCAAGCCGCTCCTGAACAACAAACAACGTCAGAAGCGTCTTACCTTGGCTAAAGAAAAACAGACAAGGTCTGTTGCTCAGTGGTCCAAAGTCTTCTTTTCTGATGAGAGCAACTTTTGCAATTGATTTGGAAGCCAAGGACCCCGAGTATAGAGGAAGAATGGAGAGGCACACACTGCAAGATGCTTGAAGTCCAGTGTGAAGTTTCCACAGTCTGTGTTGATCTGCTGGTGTTGGTCCACTGTGCTTCATTAAGTCCAGGGTCAACGCAGCCATCTACCAGGAGATTTTGGAGCACTTCATGCTTCCTTCCACAGATGAGCTTTATGGGGATGTCGATTTCATTTTCCAGCAGGACTTGGCACCTGCCCACACTGCCAAAAGCACCAAAACCTGGTTCAATGACCGTGGGATTACTGTGCTTGATTGGCCAGCAAACCAGCCTAACCTGGACCCCATAGAGAATCTATGGGGCATTGCCAAGAGAAAGATGAGAGACATGAGACCGAACAATGCAGAAGAGCTGAAGGCCGCTATTGAAGCATCCTGGTCTTCCATAACACCTCAGCAGTGCCACAGGCTGATAGCTTCCATGCAACGCCGCATTGAGGCAGTAATTGCTGCAAAAGGGGCCCAAACCAAGTACTGAGTACATATGCATGCTTCTACTTTTCAGAGGTCCGATATTGTTCTATGTACAATCCTTGTTTTATTGATTGCATGTAATATTCTCATTTTCTGAGATTGTGGATTTGGGGTTATCATGAGCTGTAAGCCATAATCATCACAATTATGACAAATCACGGCTTGAACTATCTTGCTTTGCATGTAATGAGTCTATCTCATGTATTAGTTTCACCTTTTAAGTTGCATTACTGAAATAAATGAACCTTTTGCACGATATTCTAATTTTTCGAGTGTTACCTGTATATAAAATAGTTTTTTAACAATTAACACATATTAGTATATTGTGGATATTATGATTTTAACATTATAAAGAATTAGTTTGAGGTCATTATATTACAATGTCGGGGAGCTACAGGGGGCGCGCACGTGTGTCACCGGCGGTCACTATTAGTGTGGTTGTTGATGTCAGTGACAGTTAGTTTTCACAAAGTGTCAGTTAGTGTCACATTGCTTTTGTGGGCCCCTGTCCCCGTACTCTTCTATGATTTGACACATTGGGAGTTCATCAACAAATCCCAGCCAATGATTTATGGCCAGGAGCTGCTGATCGACTGTGTCCAATCACAGCCTAGAGCCCTGTGTTGACTAACAGCACAGGGCTCTATACAGAGGAAAAGATCTCTTTGTTTATTTTCCCTGCTAAGGAGGGAAAAGAAACACATCGTTATGTAGTAAAAAGCAGCACACATTACACACATTAACCATTTCAATACCGGGCAATTTTACACCTTCCTGCCCAGGCCATTTTTCAGGTTTCAGCGCTCTCACACTTTGAATGACAATTGCGCGGTCATACAACATTGTACCCAAACTAAAATTTTATCATTTTCTTCACACAACTAGAGCTTTCTTTTGGTGGTATTTAATCACTGCCGGGGGTTTTATTTTTTGCTAAATTAACAAAAAAAGACCAAAAATTTTGAAAACAAAAAACGTTTTTCTTTGTTTCTGTTATAAACGTTTACCAATAAATAGTTGTACTTCATAAATTTAGGCCGAGATGTATTCTGCTACATGTCTTTGGTGAAAATAACCCAAATTAGGATGTATTATTTAGTTTGTAGGAAAGTTATAGAGCTCACGAACTATGGTATAGATCTGAATATTGATCAATCCTGAAGTACTGACAGCCAATCTAATTTCTTGAGGTCCAAGAATGTCAGAATAGTACAGATATCCCCAAATGACCCCTTTTTGTAAAGTAGACAGTCCAACGTATTTCATAAGAGGAATGGAGAGTTTTTTGAAGTTGTATTTTTTTTGTCATAATTTTTTGGAAAATGAAAAAATTAAAAAAAATTATTTTCACTATTTTTTTTTTTACATACTGTCCCCAGTGCAGTACAGTGTCATCATATAACTGGCATGGCGGTGATCAAGGACACTGACTGGTGACAGTATGAAAGAAATATATATATATATATATATATATATATTTTTTGTTTATTTTTTTATTTTTTTATTATTTTTAATTTTTTATTACATTTTTTTATTTTTTTTTTTAAGATTTTTTTTTCATATTTTACTATGACCAAAGTAGTACAATGTTACCATAGTAACATTGTACTACTTTGGGGAAGTGATCAGTATTTTTTTTTTTTTTTTTTACACAATTTGCTTATAGCAAAGAATTACGGCTTGTATTTTTCAATGAACTAGCACATAACTGTATTTCATTGAAGCTTCCTGTCAGTATATCTGCTTGCTCATACATCTCATACATCTCATACATCCCGTATATCCCGTACATCCCGTACGGTAAGCAGATATTCTGTAAGGTCTGCAGGAGACCTGCATGGGATCAGTGATCTAATGCTTGCTGGTACAATGCTTTCCAGGCTTCTTTGGACAAAAATAATAAATGCACATTTTTTTACTTGCAAACAAATGTGCATTTATTATTTTTGTCCAAAAAGTGAACTTATCCTTTAACACTTGTTAGGCACACAAATAACCTCTTGATTGCCTGTAGATGTTAGCTCCTTTCCAGCCAGTGTCATTAGTACAGTGACAGCATATATTATTAACACTGATCACTGCATTAGTGTCACTGGTGATGTCAGTGGCAGTTAGTCAGTTTCCACAAAGTGACAGTTAGGGGTTTATTTACTAAAGCTGGAGAGTCCAAAATCAGACTCCC